TTTGGCACATGGTTAGGGACCGGTTAGTGGGGTGCCGTGCAAAAGTCAGTTGGGACCCATTTTGCACGTGCGCACGTGCAGGGTGCCGCTTCCAGATCTCGAGAACGGCTGGGCCGATTGTGCTCAAATTTGGCACATCGCTAGAGACCGGTTCGTAGGGTGCCGTGCACAAGTCAGCTGGAGGTACCTCGTCGAAATTTCGCACGTGCAAGGCTCACCCTCTCGCTCGCTCCGTTAGTCTCCCCAAAAGGCGTTATACTGGTCATAATTGTGCCTGATCCAAATTGTTGAGCGACCACCAGGGCTCCAACTGGATGGATAGTAGTTCATTTTTTTTTTTACTTCGTTCTACACATGGTCGTCGCCCGTCGGTGACCCGTGAACGAAGCCCAGCTTCGTTCCACGATAGTCATGGACTACCAAACACTGGTTTGAAATTGAAAGTCAATTCAGATGCTTCGAGGATAAAAGTGGCTAATAGAACCACTTCTCCTGACAGCTGTATTTAACAACACTCCACTCTGGCGCCGGTGGGGGGATGCCGAGTTGACTATAATTTAAAATGTGCAGAATCGCAGGTGGGGACTTCGATACGGCAAAGACAATGTCTTTCCTTCCATCGTTATTTTTTATACTTGGATAAACCTATTCGCTCATTCGAAGAGATGTGCCTAAGAATCTCACTTGATAAAAGCACTGCAAATGTATTGTTCTTTTTTTCATTTCGGCCATGATAATAATTTATTTCTTAGATTGTCTGTAGACTGTTCTTCAGATGCATGTATTGCAAACCTAAGATTTCTTTTATATTGCCGGCGAAAGCTGCATCAAATAGGGATCATTGTGAAGCAAAAAACAAGTATAAACAAATAAATCAATCAATAGAATAAAAACAAATAAATATATTTTGTTTTAATTATCTGACCTTGACCTAGTTTTTCCCTGACCTTGACCTGATCTTAATCCGATATTGATATGACCTTGGTTCAATCTGATGCTTATATCAAAATAATGAGTTTTGATTAATTTGCAATGCGATGTTCGCCTCAATAAACTATATGTGTCACACGATCCAAAAGTTTTGAAAGCCTGACATTTCAATACCAAGCCTCTGTGATCTAAATAGATATCAGTGCCCTTATAATGCGTATACATGGCTTTGGGAAAAATAACCCATATAGTCCGGGAAAGCTCTACAAGGCGCAGGCTAGAACACCTTCGCCGAACTTTAACGATTTCTATAAATGACCTAGGATGAATCATACCCACTAATGTCCGTTTTGTATCTTTTGTCTTTAGTCGTATGAGTGAGAAATGGCATGTCTATAAAAACTAACTATTTAGAATACTCCTAAATACTTCCTGAATAAGATCCTCCTGTACCTACCTTCATATTTGACCTAAGGCATTTTTGTGTCTATGCTGACATGGCAAATGATGTATAGCAGAAATAACTGATGTGCTTATGCACTATTGTCCGTGTCTACGCTGCTTTTCTCTTCTCACAAAGGCACACAAAGCACACCATGGACACTGGCTGCGTACGATGCTGTAACAGTTCTCGTTACCATTAGCACCGCCACCCACAACATACCAGTTCATTGCATCAGCGCAGAACTACTCAGGGTAGAAAAACTGGCCTGACCTTCACCAGCCAGCACCGCTTTTTGTCTGCCCGGGTCGCCCTGCTACCCTCACTGACCCAGAGAGTGGCGGTCAGTGACCGGTGGCCGGTGGCAGGTTCAGGGGCCGACCCCGCCCTGACCGGTCCCACCCTGCAGGTCCCGGGTCAACCGTGATCGGTGTGGGCCGCGAGACACGCCTGTATAGTGCTGCACGGGCAGTGAGTATACCGTCCCGTGCTCAACATGGGGCACTTCGCTGGCTCCCCGTCTGCTAGTTCACAACGGATGCCCAATGACGCTGTGAAGAGACGCATAATGCCAGTATGTCCTCGGAGTTCGGACGGTGTTCTTGACGCTCGTAATATCCCAACAGCTCCTCGGCTATGCAGGTTTCCATCACTTTGGTTGTCACTGTGCACAAGTGGGCCCTGACACCCGTTACACTCCTGTTAAAATCGTAACCTTCCTGTGATGCTGCCCTGTGCTTAATGTGGCCCCCTGTGACACTGACCCATCCCCTGTCCTCAGGTGTTGGCCCTGTGCCTGATGGCGCTGACGGTGGCCGCTCTGGCCGACGACAGTCGCCGCTGGGGAGGCTGGGGACGACGACGCGGAAAGAACAACAAGGAGAAAGAGTTCCACCATTTCCACCACTATCCGTACCACGGGTACGGACACGGATACGGACACGGATACGGAGATTATGGACACGGCGGATACGGATACGGAGGCTATGGTGGTTACGGAAAAGGCTACGGCGGTCACGGAAAAGGCTACGAGGGTTACGGACACGGTTACGGAGGTTACGGGCACGGATACGGAGGTTACGGGCACGGATACGGAGGTTACGGACTCGTGGGTTACGGAGGATACGGCGGCCACGGCCACGGCTTCGGCGGGTACGGCGCCAGCCCGGTGATCGTGGTCACCACGCCGCACCTCGGCAAGGGAGTGGTGGGCGGCGGCAAGGCCATGGGCGGCGGCGGGGTGGCTGTCGGCGGCGGCGGCGGCGGCGGCGGCGGCGGTGGTGCCATCGCCGAGACGAGCTCCTCCTCCCAGACGGTGGTCTCCGAGGAGGTGGAGACGGCCGCCGTCTCGTCCACGGCCGGCTTCGGCGGCGGCGTGTTCGGCTGAGCGCGCGGCGGGACCGCCACAGCACTGACACCGGCACAGGTCGACAGGAGACCGGATCGTCCTCCGCGCGGTGTCGACTCCAAAAGGATGGAGCGGGGAGGGGGAGCGATAGGGGCGTCACTGGCTTCAGAGGGTGGCTTGGTCTACTCAGGTTTCACAATAGTTAATGCTCGCCTGCAATGGTCACCCGCTGAGCAAATAATTTGCGCACATGGTTTGCGCATAAGGCAGGGAACTTTGTGTATTGCTCAGGTCAGGCCCACAGATATAACATGTTGTAAATAAAAAGCCTGCAATAACTTCAACAAATTGTTATCTAAATACATGTATGACAGCAATGAATACAAACTTTGCGTGTAAATGACATCACGAATATAAAGAAGGATATGAGCTGATTGACTGCAATTGACTTACTTATGTGCCATCTCTCCAGAAGAAGTGACAAGCACCTATAGCTAAGTATAACGTGCTACAGGTTGTTGATACTAAGGCATGCGAGTTTCAAGTTTGATAAATGCATGCGAAATGCATGAATCACTCAAGCCATGTTTCCGTCATTCTCAAGACGTACTCAAAGTGCACCAGTCTACCCAGGGCTCGTGTTCAAGGACTCATCAAGCTATGACACGCTCCTCCATCCAAAGGAATTTAGAAGTAGGATCACGTAGCACTAAGTTGATTGCGATAAGCCTGTATCACGATTTTCTTCGTTATATGTTGGGCTTTCCTTCACATCAATCATGTGGTAATTTGCCAGACTGCAAACAACTATGCAACTACATAGAACATGACCAAGGGAATACTGGATTAGTCCCGGACCGCGGTGCAATTGGCTAATGTTCCGGCCCTGGTGCGGCAGAGTTTCTGAATCACAAAGGAGTCTATACTTGTCACAAAAAGAACAGAGCTCCTGTCTATGCCGTAGAATAACAAACCGTAGCTATTGGACAGTGTCTCTGTTTAGTTGAGACTAAACTAAATAAAAAAAAATCACCACGCAAAAATAAATCAATTAAGAAATTACCAAAAATGTCGGCGTGTCAAGGCTCTGCCAAGGCTCTGCGCCTTCCTTCAAGAAAACGGCGATATAAGTAGACATTAGACATGTGCTAATGGATTCGCATTCAAATCCTCCATATAAGTTAGTATGAGAAGCTGAAACTTCGCAATTGTCGTTAAAAAGTACGTTCCTACGTTTTGTTACATAACATGCAAATATTTAAAGAGAGCTCAAAGACTTTGGACAAATATTGAGATAAGGTTTGAGGTACGATTACTATGGACGTCAAACCCCTTGAGACCCCACTTTTTTGCGATAATTTTTTAAATGCGTCAACTCTCGTTGACAATATTCTGGCAATGTGTGTTTCAGAACCTGAAACTTTTATTACTAAGGTATTTTGACGCCAAACGATTATGAAAGGTACTTCTCATTCACTCGTAATGTTAAATTTCACGGACCGAATCTGCTGTTTGGGTAGAGGCTACGCGCTCATGGGGCGGAGCCACGTAATGACGTCAGCGCTAAGCTCCGCCCTACCCCTCCGGCGCCTCTTGCCCGGCGACCGGTCACTCGCGTCTCTCGCTCCATTCAGGCTTGATGGTGGGCGGTAGCTGGTAGCGGTAGCGGGCGCTGGTAGATGACATTAGGAGCAGATGGCGCTGGTGGCGGGGCTCGAGTATGGCCGAGCGCAAGCCTCTGCCCGGGCCTTAATTTACCTTAGCATTACGAGTGAATGAGAAGTACCTTTCATAATCGTTTGGCGTCAAAATACCTTTGTAATAAAAGTTTCGGCAGGCTCTGAAACACACATTGCCAGAATATTGTCAACGAGAGTTGACGCATTTAAAAATTATCGCAAAAAAGTGGGGTCTCAAGGGGTTTGACGTCCATAGTAGGTGGATGTGACCGGTCACGCAAATATACATGGCAAACAAGTATCTCACAAAATCAAATCAAAATGCATTAGTTTTACCGATGTTATGGTCCATGGAGGCCTTGACAGGCTAGAAGCAACGGCATCGTCACATACCTTTTCACGACAGTAGTTTGTACTTTGTGCAATATCATATTACCACCACCGAACCTACCATCCACAAGGCCCGGCTTGCCGCCTTCTTACTTTCTTGCCCATCTCAAGATCCAGGGTCGTCCGTTTTCTACGGTCTCGGCTGGTGCCTGAGGGCAGTGCTGGGGGAGGGCGGCGGGAGGGGTGGGGCTGTGCGCGCGCCCGGCCGGCCGGCCGTCGGGTCGGCGCGTCCCCAGTTCGCCGTCGGAGGGAGGTGTCGGGTGGAGCGTGCCGTCGTGATGCGCTGAGTGCTGCGGCCCCCGTGGACCGGATATGTGGACCGCCGGCACTCTACTGTGGCTCGGGGGTCTGGCGGTGGTTAGCGCGGCCACTGACACAGAGCGGAGGGACGCCAGAGGTGAGTGACCTGACCTGGTGGTCTCGTGACCGGTAAACCTGCAGCTGAGCGGTCTATAAGCGCCCAATTAGATCATGAGCTTTGACAGGCTGTTTTGGAGACACTCAATGACTTCTTATCGGTGAATTACGTCATGACTTTCAATCATCGGCACACATGACGCTAGGCATAAGTAACACTCACTTGCAAATCCTGAAAAGCGGCTTGAGATAATGCGGGGCACAAATTCCCTCTGAAGGATCGTCAAATTTCCAAAAGAATATCAGATTTCGCTTCCTTGTTCTCCTTCTGTGTATTTTGAAACGATCTTTTCCTAGATGATGTTTAGGATGATATACAATTTTTATTTTTGTGTAGAAAAGAACGAAAATTTTAAACAGATTTTGGGCGTTGGAGGAGAAATGAGTGCCCGAATACCACCGGTGCTATCTCTAACACATGAATTACTTGATCCCCTGCTTTCTGCAGGTCACCTTTTTGAACTCACAAAGAACGCCTATAAACAAGCAAAAGTCTTGCCTCATGCTTTTAGTTCAGTCCTCATATAAAATAACCGTTGAGGTGGAGCAGAAATCCAGCTAGCTAAATATAATACCTATTTACCTTCTCGAAGACATGGTACTTAGAACGTGAGCGCACCATATCATAATATTTAAAGTTTTTGATAGATGGACTATATTCACGACTGGTTATCTGATACCTAAATGAACCTAATTTAACCAAGTCTGCACTAATATAATATTGCTTCTGAAAGGATGACTGACGAAAAAAAGGTTAAAGATAATTAGCTGGCCCCTTCCTTCATACCTTTGCTTGAAGCATATGGACAATAGTTCGCAATGGGCGCCATACGTAGTTGTTTGCCAGATCAATTGTATTATATATCCCGACATACGATAAGAACCTGTGAGTACAAAGTAACATTAGAGAACATTGATACCTGCATGAAAGTTACTTTGCTCACTGGTCAGCTCAATATTCCTATATAAGATGTGTAAGATGTGCACCGGGCGGCCTAGCGACGGATTCATATTGGCGTGTTTGGTTTATCCTCACGTTAGCTATTATAAAAATTTGGCGCCTTAGTTATATGGATAACGCTGCAAAAGTGATATATGACTTGTGATGTCGATATTACTTGAAAACTATAGCCTGACTCGAGCTAGCCGTGCAGTAACCATGATACCGGGGATGCATTTATTAATTCTGCGGACACATAACAAGATCATTGTGGATGTGATAATGCAAATATAATTGGGGTGAATCAATAAGATATGCTGGCGGGCATTGCTGATACTACAATGTATATTTGCTGTATTGTGCGCATTTTGCCACGCAAAATATATCTATGTATATTTTAATCCATTTATCCCTTTCCTTGGAGGCATTTTCCGTTTCTAAACATTCTCCTACATGAAATCTTTTTGCGAGTGTTTAAAAACGATGGACAGAATGAATGTCACCATAGCCGTGTACCTACTAATGAAGAAGCATTGCTCAACATTTTTAGGTAAAAGTATAAGCGACAGCAATAGCTTACATCATTTTGTCCGGTTTTTAAGGAATAGATTGTCGTAATTTAGTGGCATCCTGCCTTAATGTTTTTCTGGAATTGTCGTGTTCCTGGAGTTCTCATTGTCTCGGGCTCGGTCCAGAAATCACACCGACGCCATACCTGCTTTGCTACCAATAAATCTCCATGGGCAAATTGGCCGCGGTAAATTTCCATTAGTGGCCCGTGTCTGAGCACCAATCGTTCGTCAGTGTTTGGTCTGGGCCGGTGGACGGAGCTGTGTCGTGCCTCCGTGCGGCACAGCGCACCCTCGTGCGGGGCTGACTCGGCCGCACGCGCCGGTCACAACGTTCACGGACGGTTGCCAGCGTGATTACCGTGATTTAGAGCGGTAATAAATCACGACATCACGCCAGCTCTGTGATGACCTGTCGGCGGCCATGTATTTTGCAGCGGTACAGTGACGGTTCGGCGGAATAGTCACTGGCATTGTCGGGAGGCTGGGGAAAGGGAAAGAGAGGGAGAGAGGGAGAGAGAGAGATAGAGTTGGTAGACGACAAGGAGGCTGGAGCCGGTACCTAATTTCCGCACCGTACCTTTTTTACCTAATTTGTCTGATTTCGTTACCTTTATTTGATGCATATGTATAGGCGGAAGGTGGTTGGGGCCTTGAGGTAAGAGTCATTAGATGTTTGAAGGCTGGGAAGTTATGTAGAGGCGGATGAAGATAGATGGGGGCGTTTGATGGTGAATTCAGGATTCAGAGGATGGCGGTAAGCGGCGTGAGGCGCCGTGTCGCGACCCGTTAGCATTCGTCAGCCAACGGGTCGCCTGCCAGGGGTCGATGGTGGGCCAGGGCGCCCCCGCACCCCGTCCCGAGCCATCGGCAGTGAGCTCCGAACACCGCCCGATCGCTCCTCGGCGCCGATGATGAGCCACAGATGAAGGGACAAAATGATAATGGTGGGGCTGTTAACAAGGGACGCACAAGTGCATACGTTTGCCGACGGTCTTATTTGGAACATGTTTTGATCCAGAACGCATTTAACATGAGCGCTTCCTCCAATGATGCTTCCAATCATTAAGTTAGTTAAAGTATTTAAAAACAATTAGGGGAGCTCAATGAGTCTAGACTAAAGCTCAGTCCGTTCTTCAGGCCGTTCTTCCAGCCCCCACAATCCCGTCCGCACCCATGCCTTCAGCCGAGCGTGAAGGTAGACTGTACCGCATCACGCGAAAGTCGTGCGGCACAGCCTACACTGCCAGGCCGCCGACAGATGCTTGACTGTGGCGGAAACCAAGGCTCTATGCAGAAACTGGCGCTTTATGATCACATTTTCAGTTGATTTTGTGAAACCGTCAGAGGGATTGGGTGCGGATGGGGTAAGACTATGGCGTTACCCACTTTTGGTGCAATTCTAACTAACTAATCGCATTGGGCACACCAATCGCATTGCATAACAACGGCTCCTCATTTATCTTTTAGCTTCCTTATCTACCTGAGAGCAAGCACTTTGAAGAACCCAAGGTTTGACACCATGTAGCATAAGCAAATATCATTTGTCTTGCTGCAGCATCTACCACCTTCCTGTATTTTGCACCGAGCCATTCTTCATTTATTTAGAATCGTTTCACTCTGTTTCATACCTTTTTTGTACTTCATAGCAGACTAATAACAAGGAACCTAACTTAATTGATGAGGCTGCGTGTTACGATGATATGTTTTCAGGGAGCATCATTAATTTCTTGCATTTTTCAGATAACATGTTTCGTTCCAGAATATATCAACGTCATGCGTCCTCCAGTAACACATTTACTAGTAATATGTTAAGAAGCATTGCAATGCCAAAATAATTTAGAGCCTGGATTCCCAATGCGTTCGTAAGTAACTTGCTAGTGGTTTTCACGGGTTCATTAGACATTTTGGGAGTTGAGATGTTTCAATATCCCATGATGGTATTTCTACCGACTGACCAACCTCATCGGTCCGTCTGTCCGTCTGTCCGTCTGTCCATCTGTCCGGCTGTCCGTCTGTCCGTCTGTCCGTCCGTCCGCCTGTACGTCTGTCCATCCGTCTGCCTGGTCTGTCTGTTGATCTGCCCGTCTGTCCGTCTGTCCGTCTGTCCATCTGTCCGTCTGTCCGTCCATCCGTCGATCCGTCTTCTCGTTACCGCCGTCGCCCTCCGACCTCCGGCCGCTGTCCACCGCAGGATCGCTCATTATGCATGAACCACGTCCGGTCACGGCACCCTTAGGAAGGAGCCGTCCTCCCCACCCCTTCCTCCGTCCTCGGGGCGGCCCAAATCGATCGTCCTAACGAAGGCGACAGCGTCGGCACGCCGCGGCCGGGTCACGAACGGGGCCGCTGCGCCCCAGCCGGGGTCAGCGTGGTGCGCGGCAAGCGTTGCGGCGCCGCTGATGGCGGTGGCTGACACCGCGGCAGGCAGGATCGCGTGCAGAGCGGCGGAACGGGCCAAACTGCCCGCCGGAACAAAACGATGACAACAGGCGCGTGGCATGCGACAGGGGGCCAAATGGACCCGAGAGAACTCGGCCACAAATTGGCTATGGTCATCGTAAAGCCTGCATTCGCTTCGATTACTTGGTTACAGTTTCATCAATACGGAAGACGTGGATTTTGATCATGATTGCCTGATGATTGCCATTCAAAGGGGTAGAAGAATGCATGTGCAAACGATTATTGTTGTCGTTAAATTATACTGGGTTTGTTTGCAAATACCTACTGCAGTGTTTAATGCTGGAGCTGTAAGGCATGAGTGTTCTGCAGCGTCTTTTCTATGTGACGGTTACGTAACCCAATCTCGGACCGGCGATTTTCCAGGAACCCTGTCGGCGGTTACCAATGTCAAGACAGCCCGACACGGCGGCTACTTTCCGACCACAGGCACGACATCGAGCACATTTGTTAACACCTCACACGAAACTGTGTCACAGCACGCCAGTCAGCGCCAAACAGTGGACGTAAAACACAGCGAAATACGACTCATAGGACCGGTAGCGTTCGTGGCCAGCAAATCGTCAGTATCTTGTATTGAGTTGTATAATTTTAATGCTACCATACAATGACTGGTGAGTCGCATTACTCTGCTTATGATGTTATAACGTTCATCACGTGGCCTTCTCATGTGCTGCGATGCGATACACTGCTTCCCTTTATTAGACATTTTACGTTTTATGGAATGTGTTTGACCCAGCCTGTTGGTAATAATTGATGCCAGATGATTGTCGGGTGGCACTAGTGCCCAATAATGCATGGTCAATGCCGTCGTCCCAAAAGTTTCGATTCGTTGAAGCCGACAAGCGTGTTTCAGCGTGTGTAGGAGGATGCACGACTTAGCAGTGTAATTTTCTATAATATTGCTTCGTTAATAGGTTTAAGTAAAGTTATGACCATAAACCAAGCTAGAGGACAAAAACAAGTTTGCTTATCTCTCTCTACAGCAATACATTGGCTGTGATTGTACTTACACATTTACCTTTCCCAGATTACCGCTATGTTATCAGCTTTAGCTTGGATTGAACGCCTCATATTTACCTCACATATTTTATTATGCATCATGTATGCACCCAGGTATACGACGTGCACGTTTCACGCATTCAGAATGCCACTTGGCGAGGTTGTGTAACTGCGTGACCGTTCACTGCATGACGTTATCGGTCATCAGTGGGGGCTGGTGGCCATTGCCGCCGTACTGAGCAATGCCATTTAGCAGCGGCTACAGAGCGCACCGTAAGCACAATGGGCTCATTTAACATTAAAACTCCAATAACCGCCGGCAACCGGAGCAGTTAGCGACGTGAGCAGATTTGAAAAGTTTCCACTTCAAACTACATACCAGTTTTCCACTTCAAACTACATACCAGTCGCTTGCAGCTACTGCATTCATTTTACAGTTACACGTAGAAAGTTTAACGCACGATCTAGGACAAGATTCTTATGAAAACTTGGCACTTTAGGACCTATAGTCTCTACTAATGAGGGCTGGCATATTTCGTTTTGATCTTGTTGCCAATCCATCTGCCCCATTAGACGCACAAGCTGTAGTGCGAGCATAGAACCTCGTTGTTTTTTTATCTTGCTACCAATAAAAGCCGATGAGTATGTAACTCCATTACATACACATGTACTCATATACTCATGGAAACACATGTACTCATGGAAAAAGCTATACTTTGAGTTATCTGGCTATGTGTATTTGCTTAGCTCATTCGTTAAATCACCTTCCCTTTGAAACTGTTTCAGGGTTTTATGATAATCGCTTCAATATGCCGCTGGCTTACCATTAAGCTTGGGGGTTTGTGTGTTTCGTGCATACCAACGAGGCAGACAGACAGATAGAGCAAAACAGCTCACAGCCAGAGACAGTATTCCTCCGACCCCGTGCCAACCGGATCGATAGTTGATACAGCCGTGGCTGGCATTGGCTCCCTGCTGGTGGCAAACGAAATTTAAGTAATTGTATCGAAGTTTATTTCAGTGGTGTTTGAATATTTGTACAGGTTTGTGGCTTTACTACTTTGCTGATTATTATTAATGAAGTAAATAAAGGAAGGAGAAAAAGTTTTGCCTAAGAAGAAAATGAAAGGCTTTCATTTTCTTTTTAGGCAAGAACTTTTTGCATAAGGCCACTGAAAGGCGAAAGCTGACGTTTTGTTCACTCGAAAATTCAGACTGGGATTTATTGTTTTTCACTAGTTTTCAATGAATTTTAGTTTACTCTGTGGCTCCGTAGCCTGTTCTTCGAAATTTCGATAGCGGTTGAAGCCAAACCTTTCAATTCAGTTTTACAATTTTGCTTGCTTATCACGGGAGGTATACTTTTGACCTTTTCCCGAAAACTCCAGCAGATTTGTTTTCTTGATGATGGTTCTTTTCCATGAATTTTGAAAGACCCGCAGTCTATTTTCGCTTATCACAACAAACACACGGCTATGTTGCATAATAAATGTTGCTGACCACGCGGTCGGAACTCTTTTCCTCCCCCACCTCATCCCTGCCATTCGGTCCGCTATAGCGGACCCCGCTCCCCCTCACCCAGGCTTCGTCCAGTGATGTTCAATGTATGCTCGATGTATGTACCTACACACATGTGCTTCCAGCTCTGCTCAGCCGCCTCTCTTCTTTCTCCCCCACAGCGGCAGCGGCGGCGGCAGCGGCCGGCGACTGGCACGAACCCAACACGGCCGGGCCCTATTTCGACCTGAGTCTGACCGACAACGTGACGGTGACGGCCGGACGTACGGCGCTGCTCCGCTGTCGCGTCTTCCAGCTGGCCAAACAGCCGGTGAGCGAGCGGGTCGGGCCGGTGGGAGGGTGTCGGTGGCTCCACAGGCCGCCGCCGCTCACCGAGTCACCGGGGGACACTGTTTGGACGGGAATTAACACCAGACAACGTCGCAATTAAACGATCATTGATTAATCATTAGATTATTGGAAATACTGTTACGTCGGAGATTCTAGCAGCGCCCGTAATGACAAAGCAGTGTGAGATGAAATGGGTAAGTGATAGGCAGACAGGAGTAACAATTCTTATTTCTCTCTACCCGCCATCGACGCCGGCCACACGCTGCTACAGTGGCTAGCCACCAGTACGGCGGACGGCCAGACAAATATGTGCTCAGCGTTGCGGCAATACCATTGACTGGAGCCATCTGAGCCCTACCGACAGCAGCAGAGGCAGCGCGGATCGGTCCGGTGGCTGTGCCCCGTTCGGGAGAGAGTAGGGGGTAGAGAGGGAGAGGGAGAGAGAAGGGCACAGCAGTCCGTGGCAGTGACCGGGTCTATCGCAGCTCGCAGTAGAGCCACAGGGGCCTCAGTCACAGCCGACATAGGTCAGCGTACAGTCTGGAAAGCTCAGTCAAAACGACCCACGGTTGGTGGTCGAAGTTAGCAGAACAAACAACGGAGTGCCATTTAATTTCCTTTTTTGTAATCTTTTCTTCAATTGATATACATTACGCTACCAGTAGTTGTGAGAAACACAGCAAAGCAGACAAGCCTAGACACGTAGCAAATTGAGAAAAATAGGGCACTGGGAAAATTACTTATACTGACCTCGCCCTTTTGCTCGTAGGATTACAGAAAAAAAAAACATTTTATCGTTTAAAAACGACTTTGTCATGGAATCAAAGTTTACTGAATATTTTCATGCCGTAAAGGAAACTTTCATTTCTGTCAGTGATAGCGTTAGATTTGTTGGCCCTTTGTCTTCGGCTCCTAAATCATGCGCTCAAAAGTCGCTGATGTGGAATATATTTCCATTTTGTGATATGAAAGCAGTGGTGTGCATTGGCTTGTGCCAGATGTCAATGACTTTTAATATTTGGAAGTGCTCTATGAAATTGTAAAACATTTCAATTAAATGGAATATAGCTGAAAATGCAATACACTTTTATTCATCGCCATCAAAATGAATGCATTATCCATTTGATAAAAACTGAATAGTCTTACGAAGAAGAACTATTTTCCATTTACGTCGCAGACAAAATACTGCTGTCGTTCGCTCGCTATACCAGAGCCAACAATGGACCCGGTGGCTTGCCGTCCATCTTGCTGTCGCCGCAGGACAATTACCATTGCCGTCTATACCGGACACAGTACTCGGCCGTCCGCTGCAGACGCCAGTGATGTGTGTCTGTCGCGCCGCACGACTTCCGGCCCACCGGAAACGCTCACTTCCGGCCGTTTCCGGTTCCTGTATGTGCAGCACAGTGACTGCTGCGACTGTCACGGGAAGGACGGCGCTGGGTGATTGGTACCGGACGAGACAGATTATGTAAGTACGGATAGAGCAGCACTTCTGTGCTGTAGCTGAACAGGTTGATCCGTGAATGAAGGACGAGATCATCTATCCCGCGCGGGGCTGGGGGGTAAATTTTACCCCCCCTCACGAATTTTTGCGATATCTCAACAACGGCGGCGCGCAGCGCCGCCAAACTTTCAGTACCTTTTCTTACATCAATGTGACACGTTCCCTGAAAATTTGAGCGAAATCCGTCGGAAAATTTTTGAGAAATTGACGTTTTAGTGACGTCATGTTCGCCATTTTCGCCTCAAAAACGGCAAAAGTTCAAACGCCGCTAACATCTTCATTTTTAAAGGAATCAAGACGTAACAAAAAATGTTATACGTAATTTTACTTTGTCTATCAAATGGCTATCTCGGTTTTTGAAAATTTTGGATTTTGGCCTAAATTTTTTTCAAAAAACTGACTTTTTTGGGAAAATCATCATAAAATCCAAAATTTTGAGTCTATCGAAAAAACCGGAATATATTTCAGAGAAGTGGTCTATGTGCACCTACATACCAAATTTTAGAAGAATCGGTTCAAAAATGTGGGAGTTATTCAAAATTTTATGACGTCACGACACACAATTTTTTTGAAAAATGACTTTTTTGGAAGTTCTAGACCTCGTACGGAAACAAAAATAGCACCATTCGATTCGCCGTGAAAAACTGCATCAGATAGACACCTTTTTAGGCCTTAACAACCAACTTCAAAATTTGACCTCACTTGACCTGACCTTGACCTGACCTCGACCTGAAATTCATCCAGAGGTGGTCCATATCACTTATTGAGTGTGCCTATTGAATTCTATGAGTAAAATGACCCATAAAACATGTGTCGCACATGCCCTTTTCTATATTTTGTTTTTTGGTGACCTGACCTGACCTGACCTGACCTTGACCTTGACCTCTGAATGATATTGTATGCAACGAATATTGTCTTGGTAGCCTAAGAACACGTTTTGGGCGATCAGTCTCAGTCCATGACTCCATTCTTCGGCAACTACGGTGCAAGGCCGATACTGTAGAAACTTGCAATTTGTACCCTTGACCTGACCTTGACCTTGACCTCAAACTTTAAATTAAGTACATGTTTTTATTAGTTCGTGATGAGAGCTTTCGATTGGCGTTTGAATTTTCCAAATCGGACCATTAGTTCGGGAGATAACAGGGGGGGTAAAATTTACCCCCCCCCCCCCAGCCCCGCGCGTTCGGCTGGAGACCCCAGCCCCGCGCGGGCTATCTTTACATCGATGCAGACTCATATGCACGATCGAGTTTACGACATTAGCCTGTGCGGTCGAGCGATCACATCTTCATTGTAAATGCCGGCTGGCTCACCTTTACAGTGGTAAGGCTGACTCATCCACAAGAGACTGGACAGACTAATACGCAAGGGATGATCACAAGACCGCTCATCTGTGTGGCCGCGTAGTGACCGGTCCGGCTCTAAGCGTTCGTAATGACGGTATTGGTCTGCACCCGGCGCCCCATCCCACAGGAAGATGTGGGCGAGCCCCGCCCCACAGGAAGAGATGGGCGCGCCCTACCCTACAGGAAGAGATGGACATACCCCAGACCACAGGAAGAGATGGTCTCTCCCCGGACCACAGGAAGAGATGGTCTCTCCCCAGACCACAGGAAGAGACGGCGATGGATGGTAGGGACGGAGTGTACCAAACTTCTGCTGACCGGTGTGTGTCTCCCCATGTGTGTGTCTGCGTGTGGCGGTCTCGGGTCGGCAGTCCCTGGCCGGCGGGCGGTGCGCCCCGCTACTCCCAGCGGCTATTCCGGCGATCGCTGAAGTCGTTTGTTAGTCTGTGTGGCGTGCCTAACGGTTGCATGCTTCGATTGAGCGAACAGTCATTTTGCATGTCTTCCGGAGCGAGGTAGATTAATTTACGGCTGAGAGTGGGTGATTTCCACCATATAGTTTGGGCTGGATCGGCCGTTGTTCCAATTGTCCGACCAGCTAGTGACTGGTAATTAATTGTTCAAGTTTCGTGTCACGGTAAAGTTGCTGAACAGGTTGAAAACTCTATAATTTGGCAGTCTTTGATGGTACGCCAGCTTCAGCTCCTCAGATGGTAGGTAATCGCTCTAATGTTGAACCCCACCTACACATTTGACACAAATGATAACTGTAAGGATGATAATGGTAATAATCGTTATTAAAATCACTCGTAAATAGTTTTCAAATCACTCCCATTTGGGCATTTTTACTGCTTCCACTGATAGGTAATAATTGATCCCAACAACTCTTATCTATTCGAATGACATTTAACACGCCTTAGAATATGACAAATTATTAAAACCATCACAGTGCGGATCAGAAAACGATCGACAAATTCAAGCACCACAACACATCTCACACAGCATCCCTCATCGCAGCGTTTGTATTTTAACCCTATTAGTGGCAGGGGGGGGGGGGTTGTTTTTATCCACCCCTCAGGTTTTTCGGGAATATCTCCGAAACCGCTGAAGCTACGATGCTGAAATTTTCTGACTTTTCCTAAAACTAAATTGGGCACATTCCCTGAAAATTTCAAGTTCATAACTTTACCAGGGGCGGCTCCAGAGCACTGGGAATTGGGGGGTCCTATTCGTGAAGCGAGTCATTTGGGCGAAGATCACGATGCTGCACCAGTTTTACGAACAGTGAATGAAAGGTATCATGTGATATCATATACAAAGTTATTGTGCATCCTCTTTTGACACGTTTTTGCTATAATAGGCGGATCCAGGCATCCAAAAAGGGGGGTTATTTTTTACCTCCCAACATAGGTGCCCTGACACCGCCTATGCATGACCAATACAATTTTAGTCGTTCTCTCATAAGACAATTGTAACATAACAAGACCATTGCCACCCTTTTTAGAAACAGTACCAACAAAAACCTTATTTACTATACTTTTTGTGTACCCCCAATCTCCATTATCTGTATCCGCCTATGATTTTTGAAAATGCATATTTTTAGGATCCATGTGAATTCCTGGTTCATTCTCTATCGATCGGTAAAAGTTGCGTTAAGATTGGTTCAGAAACCTGGCCGTGATAAACAGTCTAAAATGTATCTGCAAGCTGCCCGTTTTTACCCCCCTCTACCCCCCTATTGACATTTTTTAATTTTATTTTTTTAGAAATGTAGATCTCGTTGAGCCAAATCGAATGCCGTTTGAATTTTGAAAATCGGCCTGTTAGATCTCGAGATATCAAGGGGGGGGGGGGTCGTAAACAGTCCCCCCCCCTGCCACTAATATGGGGTAGCCAGGAGCCTGCCACTAATAGGGTTAACCAGCACCCGCTGGTTGTATCGTTTTATGGCTGGACACTCACCCCCTGGACAGTGCAGCAAGCCGGAACCGATCGGACCGGCTCGGCGCTCTGATCTCGCCCTGCCCTTCGAGTATCGGCGGCGCCTCGGCCGGAGACGGTCGACCTCGCCCGGGCACATTATTTGCGGCTTTGGGAAGACGAATGCCCCGCGGGTGTGTGAAG